TGCAGTCCATGGAATTATGAACCAACATAAAGCTTCATTAAGCCAATGCAGGGATCATTGAAATGTTTGTAAAGATAAAAGGTGTTTGTCCGGCACCGTAATGAGATCAAGACAGGGCAGATCAGCAAGGAGGAGCCTCTCTACAGGACTGGGCAGGATTCTGCTGTGAGGGAACTTGGCAAGTAGCTTAAGCCAGCGGTTTTCAACATTTCCACAGCTGGGGACCAGCAAAAACAGGAAAACCACCTCGGGGCCACTGAGGCAGAAACCAGATAACTTTGCACATGATACAGTATTCTGTGTATCAATTTCCAAACACAATGCCAAAAAAAGAAAATTCTCCAAAACAACCAGAAACCGAGCAATAAAAAATGCCAACAAAAGAACAAAGACCGAAATCAGTGCAGTGGGGTCCCAGTCAGCTCCCACCGAGCTGTCTCTCCCCTCTCTGGCACCCCCAGCAGCACCAGTGCACCCCCAGGAATGCGATACCAGCTGGGGAAGATGTGGCGGAGCACAGCCAGCCCCCATGGGGGTCTGCAGCAAGGAGGATGCCCCCCACCCCCTGAACTAGCAGGAAGTCTCCCGTGACCTGGTGCTGGTCCACGTTGAAAGCCACTGGCTTAAGCTGCAAGCCAACAAACCTGGAGCAAGTCCTGTTGAACAGAGTAGGGCTCAGTTCTGAGTAAACATGGGTAGGATGGCTCTGACTTAGATGTGGAAACATGGGTGAAGCAAAGGACCGATTCAGGGCTACACCAAGGCAAGGGCTGGGCTGGGCATTCTGCACGGCTTCCCATCGATGGTTGGTGGAGAGATGGTGAAGAGCAGAAGCCCCCCTGACGATTGGGAGGGGACAGGCAGGCCTTTGAGAGGGGGATTTAAGATTTGCTCTCCTTTGCACAGTGGGCCATGGGGGTGTTTTGCTCCTCCCCGCCTTACCCCCATTGGTACCCCTGGCGGTAGCCCAGCTGCTGCATGATCATAAATGAGGCCACCAATGCCTCAGGGCAAGATGCACTGCATGGAATAGCACCATCTTTGCCCAGAACACTGGGCAGGAAAGGCAATAGTTGCTCCCATGAGCAGAATGTTCCTCTTGGTGAAATATTTATCCCAACCTTTTCTCCTTGTCCCTTTCGGTAAGATGCTGCAGGGAAGGGGGGGAAGTCCTTGTACCACTTCGTAAATAAAGGTGCTACGCCCTGCCTTCTTGACCTTCCTTTCTCGCCTGGGACCAAACTTTCCCTCCACCCCTTGTTCAAATGAAGCAGGTGAGGGTTGATGTCCACTCTGCAGGCCCGACTCCACCTGCATCTGGGCACAGAGTGGACGCCTGCAAAGACTTGCCCGCAGGCTAGTTGCCCGATGCACACTGATGCTCCATGCAGCAGGGACAGGCACACACCTGTGCACGGTCAGCGACCCTCTGCATGGCCCTGCTTCTGAAAGACATCCATGCGGCATGTTCTTAGGGAGCAGCAGCATTGTTTGGTGGTGGCCACCAGACTGTGTGGCAGGGAGAGAGCTGTGCATGTGAGGCAGCAACAGCGATTATGTAGGGCTCTCGTGTGCACACTTCCCACACATCACATTGTTCACTGCAGAGAACAGATAATGGGCAAGGGATCTTGTCTTTCCCATAGCATGAGCGGGGCTCCCGTATCCAGCTGCACGTGACATCCCGATCGGGAGCCCATTGGCTTGCAGACCAAAGCGCTGTGATGTTGCAGGTTGGGGCCGCCATCATGAGGAACAGTTAAAGACCCACATGCTGGGTTCCCAGGCTGTGTACGTCTTAAAGTAATGTGTCCTTTGGGTCCCCAGGTGGAGATTCCACTTGGGATGCACCCAACAGTGTCCCGGCTGAGACAGCCTGCCTGTTCCCTTTCACAGCAAATGTAAGGCATGCCTTACTAAGGTCTCTTGCAAGTTTTTACACATCCGAATGCCAAGTCTGTTTGAAGGACTATGTGATGTATGACTAGGCAGAGCCACCTTAATTGCTCTCTGCCTCTCCCCGAATATTTGCGACAAGAATACTCTTGGAGGCATTTGCTATTTCCACGCTCCAGCTCAGACAACTTGCTGGGACTAAACAGATGACAACTGTCTGCCTCCCCCACACACGGACAGAACGTTGAATGACAAGTCACGGGAGAGGCGTGCTTGCACGTTTCTCCCCTTAATCTGCAGTACAAATACTTTATTAGCTACTCTCGCCCATGAGGAAACCTCCGTTCACATCCAACACGGCCTATCTGTTGAGGTCATTTTGCTAGGAACAGCTGTAATAAGTACTAGAAAAGTAGAGGTTGCATTGCAAGAAATTTAATTGTATCCACTGAAATCACACAGCTTGTGGAAGTTAATTCCATATATAATGAGGCGCTCTGTGAAGATGCACTTCCTTTTATCTGTCCCGAAACTCCCATTCATTGGATGACCCCAGTTTTTAATTATACAAGAGGGAGAAAAGTGTCTCTCACTCCACTTTCTCCACACCAGAAATAATTTGTATGCCTCTCCCAGCCTCCCTTGACTCTAAGTTAAACAATCCCAAATGTTGCAACCTTTCCTGATATAGGGGAGCAGCTCCAGCCCTTCTTGCATTTTGTTGTCCTTTTCTGCATGTTTCCCAGCACCGCAACGTCCTTTCATAGGTGTGGAGACCAGGATGGTACACAGCAGTCCGAGCGCAGTTGCCCTGCAGATTTGCATATGGGAAGAAGGATATTGCTAGTGTGCTTTTCAGTTCCTTTTTCTAATTGTACTTTGCACGGGTTTGCCTTTTTCATAGCAGCCACAGACTAGATGGACATTTTCATCAAGCCGCCCATCACAGCCTCAAGATGTCTTTCTTGGTCATTCACTGCTTGCTCAGATCCCGTTGGTTTAGACCTGAAGTTGGCTTTTTTGTCCCAGGTGGCATCATTTTACATTTCTTTATGCTGAACCACATTGGTCAGTTTGATGCCTGTTTTTCCAGTTCAGAGATCATTTTGAAGCTCCTCACAATCCCTTTTTGTTTTGGTGTTGTCAGCAAAGAGTTGCTCACTCTTACTTCCAGATCACTTATGATTAATTTTATGTAGCTACAGAGCCATTAAAGGACCACCCCTCTTATTCCAGGCCGCTACAGTTGTTCTGGAGCCTTTGGTGAGGGACTTTCTCAAAAGCTTTTGGGAAGTCCAAATAAGATGACCATTGGATCTGCCCTATCCACATGTTTACTAGGACTCTCAAAGAACTCTAAAAGGCTAGTGTGATGGGGCTTAACTTTGGGTGAGCCATATTGAGTCTTTCTCAGGAGGACTTGGCCTTCTATAGCTTAATTTTATCTTCAATAATGCGTTGGACCAATTTAACCAGAGTAGATGTTAAGCTAACAAGCCTTTAATTTCCCAGACTCACCCTGCATCTTGTTTTTTAAATGGGCTGTATCGGACATTTCCAGTTTTCTGGTGCAGAGGCTGATCTTAGGGAAATGTTGCAGATCAGTAATGTCATGCTTGAGTTGGTTAAGAACTTGAGGATAGATACCATTTGGGCCTGGTGAATTATTAACTATGAGTTTGCCAATATGTTTGAAAACTTGCTCTTTTGTCACCATTCTTTTGCCACAGTTATTTTCCTCAATTTTTCAGATGCCTTTCCTAAAAACATCAGTTCAGGAACAAGCATCTGACCTATATCTTCTGCAGTGAAGACAGGAAAAAAGAATTTGTTCAGTTTCTTACAGTCTTATTCTCCTCTATTTTCTTCTAGTTTCTCTAGGTAGTTTCCCGCTTCTGATATATTTAAAGAATCCTTTATTGTTAACCTTGATACTTTAGCAATATTTTCCTCCAAATGCTTTTTTGCATTTTTATTGTCTGATTATATCTCCTTTGCACAAACTTTTGCTCTCATTTCTTTTCCTCATTTGGGCAAGACTTCCGTTTCCTGGGCCTTTTCTTGACACAACACACTAGCCATGCTGGTGATTTCTTGGACTTAGTGCTCCCTTTCCTAACCTGTGGTATACATTCTAGGTCAGTGCAGCAACTAGGTCTGCTTCTCCCAAAATACAGCATTCCAAGGTTGTTACTGCCGGAAGAAGCAGGGACAGAATTCCTACCAGAAATGGCAAGGCCATTAGGCCCAAAGATAAGCCAAGGGACCAGGAATAATCAGACCCGCTCTGGTTCTGTGAGAAACTCTGCTGAACAGGGGGAAGTTCTGCCCGCAGTGACTACCATTGGATCTCCCAGTTACCACCTGAGAAGCAAGAAGGGTCTATGATCTCAGGACAATTAGTAAAATTAATTGCAAAATGGGGGGGGGGGGGGCTTTGCATCTATTAAGGGAAGCCATTCTCTAAGCTCCATAGAATTGCAAAGATGATGTTACTCAATTAGCCAGATTGCAGCAAGAGAGCAAGTCGTGACTTTTGGCCAATATCTAACAAGGACATCCACTTTCTCTCCCCTCTGCCACGCTGCTGGGTGGTGTCTGGTGGGCAGTAAGTTCAACCACCAGAACATTGTGCAGTGCATTGGGGTAAGCCTCCAGACCTTGCCTCGCTTCATCCTGTTGGAGCTCATGACCGGCGGAGACATGAAGAGCTTCCTTCGGCAGAATCGACCTCGGGTGGTAAGCCCTAGTTCCCGCCTTGGTGTCTGAGATCTTGTGGATGTAGGATTGAGCCAGATGTTGGTGCAAGTCAGCCCCTTCCTTCATAGCAGGCCTCCCTGAAAATAGTATGCAGAGACTCAGAGGGTGAATGGGGTGAGGTATGTGGGTGAGAAAGGGTGGAGCCCCCAAGCTGTCCCTTCCGTGAGTGGAGCCCTTCTGTCCCCATTTAAAGCATCTGAAGTGCAAATTGCATGGCTAACGGCACAAAGCTGCACACAGCAAGAACAGGGGATCCAAGAAATGCTGTCCTGCCAGATCCGTCCCTGAGGTTTCATTCAGTTTCCCTCTTCCTCTGAAGCAGAGGCCTGTCCTAGCAATACACAGAGGCTTTTCCCCCTCAGGGAAGTTGCCGCTAAGCAGAGCTGAATTCCTTGGGGCTGCCTGAGGCCTGCAGCTTGACCCACGACCCCAGACTGGTTCTGAGGGGCCTAGCTCACTGGTGCTGCAGCCTTCGCCCAGCTTCCCCTTAGAGCAGGGGTCGGCAACCCGCGGCTCCAGAGCCGTACGTGGCTCTTGAACCCCTCTGCTGCGGCTCCGTCGCTCAAAACATGCGCCAGCACAGTCGCTGATCTGCTCGAAGAAGCTCCACTCAGGAACACAGTGCAGTGCTAGCTAGTTAAGTAAATCAGCTAGTTAATTAAATCACTGCATTCCTCTGCTAGCAAGCTTCCTGCAGGCTCTCATGTTATATGGAAAAAGGAAACTGCAGAAAAAGGAGGAAAAAGGAATCCTCTGCTGAAAGGATTCTCTTTGTCCCAGTGTAATCTCCTTCATCTGAATGTTAAAAGCTGCGCTTGGGACCTGTCACAATTCACAGCACTTGACTGTTTATCTGCTAATCAGTCACTAATCACACCTATATCTCTTGTACAGCTGCTGATCCCTGCCCATTTTGATACCTGGGTAGATTCATTTGCTTTTACTGCTGACGAACTTATGGGGTTTGCTGTTTAATGCATGCAGCCCTTTAGCACTGACTTTGACTCTGCAGAAAGCTGTTCTCCTATTCAAAATATATGAAAGGAGTCCTACAAGTTTA